AAAATCGTAATACGTAACCTAGAAGTATTGAACCTGGATAATCCAAGAGTAGCCCAAAACTCCAGCCAAATCTTCCACGACCTTTTCGACGCCTTTCACTTAGGGTTTATTGTTGGATCCAAGTTGTTTAGACCCGAGCCTGTGTGTGACATAACCTCCGGTCAAATTCGAACCAGAACCAGTCCCGACTTCTACAACATATTATTATTTGCATAAAATTAACAATGGGCTGTGCAAATTAAAGTAATATTCACGTATAAATAATTTTTTTTGCACAGCATATTTGTAACACTACATCGAAAATCTAAAGGTATCACACTGTTTATAAATTATAATTATAATCTTTGATTAATATTTCAAAAATTCGCTTTCATATGTCGCAGGGGAAAATCAGGCTTCGGCTTACAAGTTTATTACTTGATGGACTCAATCGCTATAAATATGATATGTTTTAGTCGGTAAATTACAATTATACGTGTAAAAGCCCGAAGTCTGATTTTCACTCATAATTTTCATCAAAGCAATTCCTTAGCATTAGAGTATTACGGCGAATTTATGAAATACCCAAAATTTGAAAAATTTGAAAAATTTGACTACTAATGTGTAAATAGTGATTTTTGCTGTGATAGTCAATTATTCCCTAGGTTAAGGTGCGTCATTATAATAATTTAAGATGGGTTAGACGCCTTATCAGTCTAATCGGAGGACAACCCAATTTTTCAGTGTTTAAATTTAACAAATTAAAATTTAAACTCGGTGATCAAATACTTGGATCTGGTAACCAAATATTGTCCTAATTTCATAAATTCGCCGTAATGGGGTTTCAAAATTAAGAGCATTTTAAAATTAAATAGGATTTTTACTTATAAATCGGAAAAATAAAAAAAATAAAATAAGATTTTCTGAAATCCCCATTATGACATTTCGATGTATGGGTCATTTTAAAAAATTTTGAGCTGTTTGATTCAGATTAAAGTGCCGGTTTTTATCTACGTATATTTCAATTTTTACCTAACGTTGATATAATAATTTATTGAGATATTTTAACTTGAAGGCAAATAAATTTTTTAATGTTCGTGTTCTAAAAAATAGATTGACAACCAATGATTGACGAAATAATTAAATTGGATTGGTCAATCAATGCTTTATAATCACATGATACTAAAAACAAAAATTCAGGGGTAAAATTTAGGTTTCACATCTGATATGAGCCGATAATTGTTCAACGAAAGAGTTGTGGTTGTAATATCATCTAAGAAACTCTAGTAAAGCTTTAGGTTCTTTGTCTACTGACACAAATTTTACAAGTTTATTCAATATAAGAAAAATAGAAAGTTTAATCATACACGGATCAAACCTTTCTATGTTTTATTTCTTGATTATGAAATTTGCATCACTGATCTATCTAAATAGGCTTTTAAACATACAGTCTCTAGTCACCGGTTTTCGGATAATCCAATGGAAATCCGTAAAAAAATATCCACGGTATAAAAATAGTGGATATCCATTGGATTTTTCAACAGATCCAAGCACTATCGATATAACAGTATTATGACATTACGTGTTGTAATTTCCAAAATTAATTCTACTATCAACTATATAAGTATGACACATTTTACTGTCGTTACATAGCTCCGCTCGATTCTAAAAAAAATTTTTTTTACTAATTCACCACGATTTGATCCGACAATAAGACTTAAAATGTTATACTGTACATTTATAAATATCGAAAACATTTAAAGTTGTGTACTGCTTATTATACTATTATGTGATTGGTGTTTTTAAAAGTAATTTCCTTATAGGTTGATTGTCATGTGACATAACCATTTTAGTTAATTACTAAGTTTAGGCGTGAGGGTTTTTCGGGCGTTCGGTGTTTCGCATTTGTTTTTTTTAGAAAGATATAGAATGATCTGCACGATAATTATTTCCGAATATTAATTTCTTATCTATAAATCCCTAAAACGATATAAACGGCACATATTGTTCTAGCCGATATGAAACATCTTGATCATGCATTAATAATAATAAACTTTAACAAAAAAAAATCATTCTTGATATCTTTTTTAGAATTCTTAAAATGAATAATTTGTAAATAATATATCAGAAAAAGTGCATCAAGAAAGGTATTATGCAAGGCGTAAAAATGAAGAAATCTTGCACCTCGGAGCTACAGAAAAAGTTTTGAATAATTAATTATTTGTCAGAATATTCGAGATTTACAGTATTTAAAATAAAATACACTTTCTCTTTTATATCTTAATAATTAATAAGTTTTTACATTGTTGAAAAGTGATTATTTTACTTTAAACAAAATGGAAGAAAAACATACCATCCAAGGATCGAACACATCGAAAGTAAGAATGTATCATATGATTATATATGATTATTTATAATAAAATATTAAGTAAAATAGCAAACATATTAATTATTATATTTGCATTTTTGTTTTCTCCTAGTCAATAATACAAAATAATACCGATGGAATCTTATACAACTCAGACGCAGAAAGACATCAAGATTCAAGGGCTGCTATTAATCTAGCTCAAGATTTTATGAAAGATTTCAGCGAACCATCAAATTTATTTGGATTTAAAATTTTAGTTGAAGATCTTAGATTAAAATTTTCAGCAAAATTATTGATCAACGCACTTAAACTGTTAAGTGATGTCTCCTTATTTGATTATTATACAGAAGATATCATTTCGCATTTCGAATTACATCTTCGTACTTGGGTTGCAACTCTTGAAAAAGTGGTCTGTTCTTCTATTATTTTGAACCAAGAATTTTACGACAAACTTTACAGTAGTTTAGTTAGCTTTATTGATATTCATTATCATATAACATTATTTTTTAAACAAGAAGTTAATCTTGATAATCTTGATAACGCTGGCGATAATTATTTAAATTTTCAAAATTTTAATATTAATTTCTTATTAATTCACTTACGAGACAGTTTACACTGTATACGCAATAATGAAGCACGTTCCGAAGAATTTTTACGACATGGAAAAGATTTTATTTTAAAACTCATTCGAATTACTCCTAAAGGTGATAAGTCCCAAGATATTCTGGAAATATTTGAAGGACCAACTTTACCAAAACTTGATAATTTTTTTAATTTCAAAAATTCCATCCCTAATTGGTATCAAAAATGGCGAGAATTTTTATTTCTTTATTATTCATTACAAGATTTAATTAGAGATTCAAATCATTACATTTTACAACATCGTAATGAAGCTTATATTTTAGAATTTCTTTGTCAATATATTTTTGATCAAAATCTTAATCAATCCGAATTAGAAAAATTAGATTTTTCAGAAATTTTGAATAATCAAGAAGATTTTTCAAGTCTTTTCATTGAATATAGATTCACTGATTTACCCTATTTCTTATGGTTTGGTTTATTAGATTTTGCACAAAATCTATGTCGTAAGATTACACAACAAACCACCTTAACTTTTTTTTATTACTTGGGTTTAGAAATTTTGAAAAAAACAAAATATGATTACGTTCAATTTAAATCTTTGGAATTACTTTTATCATTATCTAACAAAGATCCAGAATGGTTTGAGAATTTGGTACAAACAGAAATCAATAAACATTGCGCTTCATTATCAATAGATTCTCAACAAAAATTTAAGAATCTTTTAGATAATGTAAACCTAAAACTTCAATTAGACGACAAATTTATTAAAAATTTAATTTCAACACAATATAAAGAATCTTGGTTCTTTAAGGAAAAGTTTTCGGCAAGCAAAAGTGATACTCTGTTTAAAGAAATAATTATGGAACAATTAACATGCCCGATCACTGGTGAAATAACTGGTGATTTTCTTATTTTAAGATGTAATCATTCAATTAGTTATGATGCTATAAGGAAAGGGGAAATTATATTATCGATAGAAAATAAAAGTATTGAATGCCCTTTTTGCAAAACTATATTTAAATTAGAATCGATATATAAATTTTCAAGAAATTCAATAATTAAAGGTCTTTTCAAAACACTTGAACAAAAAACTGAACATTTAAAAGAAAATTCGAAAATGAAAATCGAATTAAAAACATTACCATCAAAAGTTAAACTTCCAACTTTCAATAGAGCAATTAAAGCTTTAAGACGACATGAATATTCAACAGCTGTAATTTGGTTAACTCGAATTTTACATTTTTATCCTAAAAGTTATTCTGTTCGATGTAGAAGAGCGTTGGCATCTTGGAAAATTGAAATGTATTCACAAGCCTTGAACGATCTCACGATAGCAATTCAACTTAATCCAAAAAAATCTCTTGCTTATATTTATAGATGTCATATATATCTCTTTTTTGAAAAAGTTATTGATGCATCTAATGATATAGAAGTTGCATTAAAAATCGATCCTAATAATATAGATGCACTTTTATATAAAACAAAAATATATTCTGACCAAAAGAAATTTAATGAAGCAAAATTGGAAATTAGAAAAATTTTGAATATCGGTAAAATTAATTTTGTTCATCCAATTTTATCAATTTTATTTGAAAGGTTTGATAAACCAAATAAAATGATTTTTGGATTGGGAAATTCTTTACCTATTCAACTTTATGATATGGAACATACTACAATCTCTGGATACGTTTTATTACGATCGTATAATAAAAAATTAGCAAAGTTATGTGTTAAAGCTATTAATGATGAAAATAATAATATTATATCTATTGGGATCAGAGGTATTTTATATTATAGGTTAGGTTCTTTCGGTAAAGCTTTAATTAATTTTCAAGAAATTTTAGAGATATTTCCAAGTACTATTGCTTTAGATTGGTACGAAAAAACATATCAAATGCTTGAAAATTATAATAATAAAAAACTTTTACGTTTAAATAAAATAATTAGATTTAGTTTAAATCAAACAAACACTTTTAATTCAAATCAAAATAATTTTAATATATTAAAAGATCAAGATGAACATTTTGTACGATTTAAAGTTATGTTAGATTCTAATCCTAATAATGCTTTAGTATTAGAAACTCGTGGATTATATTATTTTGGATTAGGAAGATTCGAGGATGCACTCTCAGATTTAAATAAATTAATGGATATTAAATCAAATAACGCGTCAATTTTAAGATATAAAGGAGCAATTTATTATATGATGAATAAGTTTAATGAATCACTTTCAAATTTAAACAGATCATTGGATATTGAATCAAATAATGCGTTCGCGTTAAGAAATCGTGGTGCTACTTTTCGTATGTTGAATAAACATACGAGAGCACTTAAAGATTTAAATAAATCATTAGCAATAGAACCAAATAATGCATTTGCATTAATGAATCGTGGGGCAACTTATCGATTAATGAGTAGATATGAAGAAGCTCTTATGGATTTAAATAAATCATTAAAATTAGAACCTGGTGACGCGTTTATTTTAAGAAATCGTGGAGCTGTTTATTGCATGTTGGATAGATATAAAGAATCACTCGCTGATCTAAATGAGTCGTTGAAAATAGAACCTAATAATGTATTTGCTTTAAATAATCGTGGTGCGACTTATCGACTTATGAACAGATACGAAGAATCTCTCGTTGATTTAAATAAATCTTTAAAATTAGAGTTAAATGATGTATGGACATTAAGTGATCGTGGTGCTACTTATCGTTTAATGAATAGATTTAATGAGGCACTTGCTGATTTAAATAAATCATTAGAAATTAATCCGAATAACGCATGGACATTGAGTGTTCGTGGAGATACGTATCGCATGTTAGAAAGATATGAAGAATCTCTTGCGGATTTGAATAAATCATTAAAGATTGAACCAAATAATGCAGATACATTAAAATTCCGTGGAGAAACCTATTGTAAATTGGGAAGATATAAAGAAGCACTTGAAGATTTAAACATATCATTAGAAATTGACCCCAATAATGCATTTGCATTACAAGTTCGTGGTGCGACCTATCGACTTATGAACAGATATAGAAGTGCGCTTGCAGATTTAAACAAGTCTTTAAGAATTGACCCGAATAATTCAGATACATTAAAATTTCGTGGGGAAGTCTATTGTAAATTAGGAAGATTTGAAGAATCTCTTAATGATTTAAATAAATCATTAGAAATCGAACCAAATAATGTATTTGCGCTAAATAATCGTGGAATAGTTTATAAATCAATAGCCAAATATGATGAAGCGCTTGCAGATTTAAATAAATCTTTAGAAATTGAACCAGATAATGCAGAAACCTTAAAATTTAGAGGTGAAATTTATTGTAAATTAGGAAAATATAAAGAAGCACTTATTGATTCAAATAGATCATTGAAAATTGAACCAGATGATGCCTTTGCGTTAAAAGTTCGTGGTGCAACTTATCACATGATGGATAGGTATGAAGAATCGCTTATAGATTTAACCAGATCATTGGAACTCGAACCAGACGACCCGTTTGCATTAAGAAATCGTGGTGCAACTTATCGTATGTTAAGCAGATATGAGGATGCACTTATAGATCTGGATAAATCATTAGAACTAGAACCAGATGACGCATTTGCTCTAATGAATCATGGTGCAATTTTTTATTAATAGAAATAAAAACAATGGTCAAGTGGTATGATTAAATTTATTTATCATAATAGGATTTTTTTTTAAATTTTAAAATTTAGGTTTCTATTTCATTTATCATTAAAGCGTTTTGTTTAGAATATTGTAAAATTTTTAACCTATTTCGTTATTCGGAGCTTATGTAATTAATAAATAAAAAATGTATGATAATACAGTAATTTTAATGAAATTCTTTTCTAAAATTCTGCATTTAATAAAATTTTTTTCATAGAACAACGAATTTACATTATTGCTTCTTCGTAATTTTGTAATTTATAAAAAAAAAAAATATATTTAATTCAGTGGATATCGAATCTTTTTTTTTGTTATATATATTGGATTCGTAATTGGCTCGAATCTGTGCCGGGTTGTGTGCAGTAGAATTTTTTTTTTTTTTTTTTTTTAAAAAAAAAAAATAAACCTCCTAGAAAGGACGTCCTATGGCGTGTTCTACATTATTTGTTTACATTAATTGACGTTTTTCTTTGTTTCCTTTTCCTATCTGTAAAACTCTAATCTCTTTTATTAGCCTATTTTTACTGACTATTGAAAAAACTATATCTGGTATTTGTATTCCGTCCCATTTCATCTGTGAGTACCAACACCAAATTTCGTATATTGCGTTTGTGTGAAGCCACAGTGCGGTTCTTTGCGGGTGGTCCAGAGTTGGGACCCGAAACGAAACCTACTCGAAACTAGTTTCGAGCAGGTCTAATTCCGAAACCCTTTCGGATTTAATAGTCCCAGATAAAGCTTTTAGGATAATCTTCTGACTGATTAGTAGTTGTGCTTTTTTCATCTTCATACAATCCCTCATGTTTACTATGTTCACTGTCACTTTTATTTTGGCCAAAAAAAAATTTGCTTTTACACTTACCACATTAGTATATTTTTGAAATAATTGAACTTTATTCCTTTAATTGTAGTCTGAGTGTATAGAAATTATATATGATTTGCTTTGCTAATTTTTTATTGCATGTAAAGATTATTTATGTATATATATTTGGTTAGCATGTAACATTTTAAAATATAAGTAAAAGAGATTTAAGGATCTTTTAACTTACATGCTATGGATTATATATAAATTTATTACACAAATTATTATAAAAAGATGTACGTATAAAAAATTTATTTTATAAAAGCTTTCTTATATATAAATACATAAAAAAAATTATATAATAAAAAAAATTAAAAAATAAAATTAAATATCAATATCAACTATATCGACAGTTATTCCTTTTTCATTATTCTTTTTTTTTATTTCTTTTGTTTTTTCTTTATCCTTTTCTTTTATTTTTTTTGTTTTTTCTTTATCCTTTTCTCTACTTCTTGAAATCATTTTTTTCAAAGTATATTGAGCCATTAAAGTTGCTGTAATTAAAAAATTATCCGGAATATCATCAAGATAATAATTTAAATTTCTTATTAAAGATAAAGATAGTATAAAGATGCATGCTTTTTGAAAATAAAAATTGATTGGCCATTTTAATAGAATAATAAATGTCTGTAAAATATTTGGCACATAAAACGAAATAATAGAAAAAATTCCCACTGTAAGTTCTAAGAGCCAATCAGGCCAATTAAAACACATACCAAAACGTAGAAAAATAACTATACAAAATGATTGAAGCAATAAAAGCGCGAATAATATAAGAAATACAAAACTTATTAGATCAAAAGGTTGTTCAGTAATAACAATAATCCAAAATAACGGAATAACATATACTGGAAAGATAATTAGATTCATAGCAGCAACGGCTATACAATTTGAATCATCAAATTCAATTTTATTGATAATTTTAAACGTCCAGCAGAATCCTTTATCTCCAGCAGTGATTATATTATATCCATAATAATTTGATTTAAATTTTTTTGCCAAAAATTTAGAGAAGATAGTTATAATAGAAAAAGTTAGATGAACAACCATATTTACGTAAGAAAAGATTTTTATCTTGAAGAGTTCATCATAGACTAAACTGGCTACTAGCGGAATAATCCAAGTAACAATATTGTATAATGCATCATCAAGTAATGGCAATGCGATGGCTCTAAATGTTGATACCCGACTTATCTTAAAATAGGCATTTCTTTCTTTATTAATTTCTTTTAATATTTCGTTTAATATTTTTAAAATTTCTTTTTTACACTCTTCTGACTTTATTTCAAAATCTTCATTATTATCGTCATCATCTTCTATTACAAAAATTTCCTTTTTATCTAAAATTTCTTTTTTACATTCTTTTAACATTATTTCAAAACCCACTAGTTCATCATATTCATCACCGTCTTCTATAGTATTAGGAATTAATTTGACGAGAGCATCTTTAAGTATTCGTTTATTTTTCTCAGAAATACTCAAACTCTTATCAATTCCGAAATAGACGTTTTTTCTTTTGTACAGGTTGTCAATAATGGTTTTACTTTCATCTTGTTTATATAATTCGCTAGTTTTGGCTTTTTCATATTCTTCTTCTAGCTTATCTTTATCCGCAGCATTCTGAATACCTTGTACAGTTTTGTTTATTATTTCTTTTTCTTTATTTTTAAGTTCCAAAAATGTTCTTTCCATCATCTTTTCATTTTTTTTCCATTGGAGATCAATAAATTTTATTAAAAGGATTGGAAACAATGTATTGAGAATAGCATCATATAATTCTTGTAGGTTCCGATATTCATCATTCATGATGGACGACATTTTAAAAAATGAGAATTTATTCTACTCTGATAATATCTGATATACGTTTATATTTAAGAATTGTCAAGACCATTTAATTATTTTCGCAGCCCTCAAAAGATTATACAGAAGTATTGTAGTATCTGCACAATTAGATTTTGTATATTAAAAATTTTTGTACATGTTACTAATTCTTAGACCATGAATAATGACTAAAATTACCGAATAGTGTACAATATAGAAAATATTCCAACTAAAAATTAATGATAATATCTCAAAAGCTAAATAAGTGATTATTATATTATATCCAAAAAAAAAAAACCTAGAAACAAGCTTTTTAATGACTATAAATATATAATCAATTAGAATTAGAATAACTAATTAGGAAACGCATTCATTAATAATGACACTAAGATTAATTTAATATGATGACCACGCGGACCTCACGTATTATTGTCGCAAAATAACTCCCACCTGTGCGTTATTTTGAGAGAAATGTCTAATTATCTGTTATTCATTATTGTAATACCATTTTCTTTTACATATTTATCTACACACCATTTGGGTAATTCCGCAAAACAATATGGTTCTTTCTCAGCAAATCGGGGTTTAGAGATGATCTAACCGAAATTGAGATTTTTATTGAATTGTATTCACAAGTATGTGAGTTATTCATAGCAAAAATTTTAGCATATATTGATATACTATAATTTGGTACAGTTCTATACGCAGTAATTAGCTTTAAATCTTTTATTGTTATCGCTATCGCTATTACTAAAAAAGTTTAAAATTATATCAACAACGCGTGTCAGTATAATGTATGTGCATACGTATAGTACTAAACTTTTTTACATATTAGTAAAGTAGCTGCGCTAAAACCAGGAACGGGGAATTTTTTGAGCATGTGTAGTGTTAGAATGTAATTAGTATATCGTTATAAGTCACGGGTTTTCATTAAATTATTTGTAAACATTAGGGTGAGCAGTAAGGCCGTTAATCAATCCGGTCCAGACTGATGGTCCTTCGATCCATCCAAAGAACGAAGCGATCTAAATTTTTTAGGATGGATCATATGGTCCTATTATACAAAAATTAAAAATTTCCGATTTTACGCTTTATTTGAGTTGAGCCAATCATATATGTAATATTGTACTGTATTACATATCAGCGGATTTGTGGGATGGGCCGTAGCTCTGGTCAAATTTGCAGATCATTTGGTCAGCTTTGAAGTTGACCAGAGCTATGGCTTATGGGTTTTTCTATTCATCAAATTACACAAATCCGCCGATATAATTATTTGATCATAATTGTAATCGTAACATAAATTAAATATGATTTGAGGTTTTGGTACAATAAATCTGTAGCCAACATTAACCGTAAATCTGGCTAACACTAACCCTAAATCGGGCCCAAAATGTCTGTCGGTGAAAAGGTTGTCAGGAAATCAACCAAATACCATTTAAATAATACGTAATATATTAATTAGATAGTTAATTTTAG